AGCCCATCATTTAAGGTTAGTTTCCCTCTTGTGAAGTGTCTATATTAGTTACATCTAGGGTTAGGGTATTAAAGTCATCTTTTAATTTGAAAAACCTATGTGTATTATTTTTTAAAACAATGTGGCTTTGTGATATTTCCCAATACAATTAACTCATATAACAATAATAACAGTTGTACGAGGGATTCGAATTAATCAACTAATTAGTAGACAAGTTCAATAGACAATCTTAGCGTGGCAAGGTGGGACCTACCATGCACGGTGCTAGATCTAGCTGCCATGTCAGAGCGTCTTCAAGAGTCTCTTTTAAACTCAATTTCTAAATCATTATTTGGAGAACCATTTGAATAAAAATCGTTCTTTGTATCTTTTCATCCTCCAACAAATTCTCTATATCTTGTCAAAACTCTAGAGAGCCAGCATTGTTCTCCCTCTTTGGCTAGCAAAAATCTAGAATAGAGGTGACTATATTCCGAGACCTAACTAAAGAAGTTGTTGGAGGTTATTTCTTTCACCAAAATCTCTATTCCCGTCAACTAAAAAGGATATAAAGATGCTCTTGGAGTTGCTCTTAGTACGCTTGTTGCACCGTATACACTAATGTGGCAGAATAGCTTTGTCACACAAGTGTTGTTGCCTTGTTGGTGCAGCCAAAAGGGTTAATCTATACAGCTAAAAATGGCAAGTGCAATTTTCCACACGGCAGACCCATCTCCTCCCCTAACAGCCTAACCAATGCATCCGTGACACTTTGCGAGTTTGTAAACCCCAACTCATTAGAAGCCTATAGCAGTAGTATTGTTGCCCCATGTAGCTCATGGCGGCACATGTGGAGTTGTAGTTGGTGGGTTAGTACCACCATAGAAGTTTAGGAGGGTGAAGGTCACCTTATGATCCTTGTCATTCTAAACGTAGCATCTCCGGGTTAACCTTTTTACATGAAGCGAGGACAAAAGTGTAAGAGAGGTGCTACACGTATGTAGACTCGTTCCGCGTGCGAAGCTTGGCCATGTAAGCAGATTTTGGACAGACGGTGTTACAGGATGCCCCTGAAAGAATTTGTGGGTTTGGTTTAGTAATTGAGTGGCAACCTTAGGTGGACTAATTTTTTCATGTGAGATGAATAGGTACTTAGTCCACACACACTAGGTTGAGCAAGTCATAAAAGCCATGGTGGGAGATGTATGTAGACAAGCCATTAGAATTTGACTGTTGGATCTGTTGACCGTTGGACACCCTTTCTCTAGTGCCACCGGAGGATTCCTGTGACTCCCTGATGGTCTCTGGATTCTTTCTGGAAAACACCAGAGCTCCATCCTTTCTCAAGTGCCTCACTAGGGCCTTAATTCTTCTCTCCCCGATGCACTCTCTGATGCTTGGCATCAATTCACCACCAAAGCTTTTCGATGGGTGCCTGAAGATTGACTGCAGGTCCTTCTGACTTGCATTCTCTGGTGCCATTGTGGGGGTAACTTATTTTTCTTCACGCTTCAACGTGTCTTTGTTGGGGCTTTGATCACTTGATGTCTTGGACTTCTTGCAAGTCTTGTATAATTTTCTAAGCTACTCCATGGTCTTCTTTGAGGTGTTCATCACTTGGTCTTCACGTTGCATAAGTGCAATCCATACTTGAATCCAAATAAACTAAACCTTGTATATTAGCAAACTTTATTAGTCCATTTGATCATGTTGTCAATCAACCACCAAAATAAAACATGGCCCATATTAGGTGTAATTTTCGTTACAGCTTAAAATGGATAGAGCTTGAGAGATACTACTTGAAAGGTGTGGATCACTAGAAGTATACCACTTGAAGAATATATGATCTATTTGTATATTGTTGTATTCTTATTGAACAAGATTGTCTCTATGAGCTTCTTTCTTGATGACTTACTCTAGTTGATTTGCACACGCTTCAAGTCACAGTTTGAACCCTCGCCAAGCTTCACAGGAGCACAAGACCATAACCAACAAATAATCACAAAGGCAGAAGATCACAATTGTGAACAGAAGATAACTAGTGCCACCTCATCCATACGAATATATCATCACAGGCCAACAAATTAAAGACGAAACAACAATACCAACAAAAAATACTATTGCCACCTTATCCATATGAATATGTCATCACAGGCCATAGACTGGACAGCACCAAAAATCTGTAATCATACAAGTGAATAAAAATCCAACAGATTAAAGGCAGAAGAACAATACCCACAAAAAACTAATACAACCTCATCCATATGAATATTTCATCACAGGCCTACATAGACAGGACAACAGTGCTATTTTTCATAACATTCTTTGCCCGAACTTAAATCAAAGGATGAGAGGAGAGGAGAGGAGAGGAGATCTAGTGGTACTCTATAACTACATTTACACAACCATTAAAGAGAGAACCCAATCTTTAAAGAGAACCCACATAAATAAAACGATTTGAAAACTTAGGTCCTACACAACTTAGGTACTACTGCCACATAAAGAATGCAACAAGCTACCATGAACTAAGAGTAGTGAAGCCAAACACATGCATAGGCCTAAACCCTAACAAACTAAGAGCACTGAAGCGAACACACATACATAAGCCTAACCCTAAAACCCTAACAAACTAAGAGTAGTAAAGCGAACATATATGATGAACCCTAACCCTACCTTCTTCTTGCCTAATCGCGCAGCCACAGTGCACCGTTCATCGCCTTTCATCGTCGGTGTCGATGTATTTACCTCGCTTCGCAAAGCTCAAAAGGACCCTTCTTGTTTGCGGCCGGCACTAGATCCTTCGTGTTGGCGCCTTTGCCTGGCCAGGTAGTGGACGTCGCCGCCGCGCCTTTGCCTCGATCGGTGGTGGTCGACGGCGTCGTGCCTTTGCTCTGTTCCACGACAGTCGATGCCCCCTCGCCTTTGCCCTGCCTCGCGGTGGTCCCGCGACTCTGCAAGGCCAGGCGCACGACGAAGGGCTTCACCTCTTCATCGGAGTCGAGCGGGTAAATGAGGTTGCCGTGTATCAGGATCCAACCCCCTCTGCAACCAGTGCTGCTCGACGGGGCGAACTAGCCATGTTCGTTGCGCGGATGGATTTTGGAGTTGAAGCTCGCCTCCCGCTCGACATTGCCGCACGCGCTGCCAGGTATGGAGGCGATAGGGTTTGGGAGAGGGGAGGCGATAGGGTTTGGGATAGTGGAGGCCATGTGGTTTGAGAGAGGAGGCGATGTGGTCGGGAGAGGAGACGGAGTGAGCAAGGAGGGCCAGTAGGTATTTATTTCTAAAAGAAGCGGCTCCAAAGTCGGCCGCCTCTACAAATGGTTCTTTAGATGCGGTTGGTGTCACCAGCTGCCTCTGAAAATTGAATTGTTTTCAAAGATGGGTGGCAAAGCCAGCTGCATCTAATGAATAATTTGCAGAGGTGGTTGGCTTTGGCTCCGCCTGTTAAGATCCATCTCCAGAGGTATCTTGGTTCACAGGACACTGTAGAGGCGGCTCAGAGTCGCCTCTACCAAAAAATGGTTCCGTCGCTGAAAATTGTTTTTTTAGTAGTGAATAAATGGAAGATGTATTTTTCTCTATTAAGCCTTATTTGAATGTCTATGTATTCACTTCAATCCATATATATATTGTAGTGATTTGGTGTGAAATTTGATTTAAATTGCACACTAAATCACTTCAGCACATATGGATTGAGGTTGATACAATAATATCTAAACAAGCCCATATGATGGCCCGTTCGCGTGCCCTTAAATCCGGCTTGATCCGCTTATTTTTTTTATTCGGAATCGTGTTTTTCTCTCACAAATTTCTTCAGCGTTCCTCCAAACCATTCAGATTGCTTTAGAATTCAGACATGCGAAGAGACCCGATATGTCCGGCACTCTTGATTTTTAACTGTTGATTGGGTAGCACGACACGAAGTGTAACTTTATTTTTTTAATATAATGTGAGGTCCGTCTAATGGGTACTCCGTACGTATTTGCTAGCCGGTGCTCTAATAAATAACTGCGTGGAGCACCATTTATTTCTCTGTAACCTTTCTAAGCAGATGTAACGAAAACCAACTCAAGCACGTTGGTAGCTAGCCCGGTGCACAGTGTACTCGCCACGAACCTGTACAAAATTCCCACCTGGCTACAAGAGACGGCAGAGAATACCGGGACGTCGATCCTACTATTCCTACCCGGGCGTCTGGACTGGACCAGCGTCTTTCACTGCAAGAACCCAGCGCGCGAGCGCAAACAAACGAACCTCACGAGCCGGTGCAACCGCATGTGATTTCGGCCGTTTTGGCGCCTTGCCCGCCGGGATTTCCCACAGATCGGCCGGGTTGACTTGCCCCGGGCAAGCACCGTTTTTTATTAGCTCGCCGTGTCGAAGAGGCTCCCCCATTGCAGGAGTAAAAATCATCACGGGCCGTGATATGGTCGCATCTACTGTCAGAAGAAGAATCTTGCAGTAAGTTTCATAATTTGGCACCGTGCACATACCTGGTCCATACATTTACATTTCGACAAGGGAAGAACCGTCCGCGGGCACGATCATTGCCACCAGACAATGGAGCCGTGCATGGCGTAAAAATCGAACAGAAACCTACAGAGAATCTAGATCGATGGCATTCTACCGACCAGTGTCGTCTCGACGCCACGGTGACCGGTGAATATACAATGTTGAGCGCCCATCGACGCCAGTGCCAGTTCGTGGACGAGCCACGTAGCCAGGAGTACAACCGTACAAGCGTACTACCAATACCAACAAGCAGCTGCTGTTCCATTACCACGCACGTCCCTCTGCGGCTCTGCGTGCACTGCAGCCACAGGGAAAAGGGAAACGGTGCAGTAGATTAGGAGAGTTTCTACTTCTATTCTACGCTAATTCCTTGTGCACCCCTTGTAGCAAAGCTATATCTGTACGCTCATCGGCTTCCTTATCTCTCTGTTCACGCGCTGTGTCGTCTCCACTGCCCTGTCCTGGTGGCGACGTACCGACCCGGCCATCCTCGAAGGCCGGCCGGAATGGCGGACGCGTTCTCCCCGCCTTCGCCGCCGCCGGCACCGGCACCGGCACCATCCCCTATCGCCGCGGAGGACCTCGCGGACGCGCCGCTCGCGCCGTGGACGTTCTCCCCGTGGCCGGCGCCGCGCGGGGTCAACCATGTCAGCGGCGGCGGTCGGGCGAATCCGCTCTTCACCATACTGCCAGTCTCGGCTCTGGCCATCGGCCTCGTGCTGCTCGTCGCCGTGGGCGTCATCCTGGCGGCGACCCGCCGGGCAAGGCCGCGCCAGGCGGACGCCGGCGGCAGCAGCTGCAACGGTGACGGCAAGCCGGGCGCACCGCCGTCCAGTTGCGGCAGCCATAACACCAGGTGCGGCTACGCCGGCGCCGGTAAGTGCTACAAAGTTCGCCGTGCCCGTACGTCGCATTGGTTCGATCTTTCTCATGCATGACTAGTTTTCTTTTGCTGGCCACGCGCGGCAGGCACAGGGTGCATATACGCCGGTCGTCTGGGGTTCTCGTCTGCGCAGCTGCCGCGGAGCCGTGGCGCGCAGGTGTTCACGTACCGGGAGCTGGAGCGCGCGACGGACGGGTTCAGCGAGTGCAACGTGGTGGGGCGGGGCGCCTACGGCGCGGTCTTCCGAGGCCGGCTCGCCGACGGCACCACCGCCGCCATCAAGCGGCTGCGGCTGGACCACCGGCGGCAGGGCGAGCGCGAGTTCCGCATCGAGGTAAGCCAAGCAACTCCACACGCACACACGTCGCCTTCAGCTCACGCCATCGTCCATGTGCACGTCCACGTACGTCGCGCTCCGCTTCGCGTACGCTCGTACCAACCTTACCTGTTCCCGCAGCGAGCACCGAGCAGAGCGGCCGGGGTAGTTCGAGTTCCAGCTTCCAGCGGTTGGTGTGCCTGACTGCCTGGGATCGGCCGTTGGGACGGGCGGTGTGGCGCTGGGACGTAACCTGGAAGGCAGGCTGCCCGCCCGCCAGCCTGCCTGCCTGCCTGCCTGCCTGCTGCGCGCGCGCGCGTGCGCGCGTGACTGCGAGCCGCCTTCTGTGACAGACTGTTCCATCTTGTCTTTATCCTGGTGCGCGTCGGGCTCGTCCGTTGCGCGCGGTGCCTTGGGCGATTGGCGGACGCGGCGCGCGGGACCAAACCTGCCGCGGCACGGGAAAAGTTTGCGTTTCGCGGTGGGTGACTGCCGCCGGTTGGTTGCGGCCGTTTGGCGGGCGGGACGCGTGAGCCTTGTCGATCCGGTCCTGTCGGCTGCCGCTGCATCCGCATGCCGTCCTCCCGCGGGCCGGGGAAATATATGGGTTCTGGACTTCTGGTACAGCGGCTGGTGCCGGCAGCGCTTCTGGTAGGGCGTGTCACGCGCAGCGTGTGCTAACGGATAGTGTAATAGTGTTCATTTGTGCGTCCTGATGACTCGGCCATTAGCCATTAGGCTTCACATTGTGGGTTCGAGCTTCGCATGGGACAAAAGACAAACGTCACGAGCATAATCTAGGTTTGGGTCTAGATTTTGGAAGCTCACACAAGGGCAATCATTCGTGTCATGGGCCAACCTTTCTTTGTCACTGCATTGTAGGCTTCTTAAGCCGGTATCCACGAATGCCTATTTGATTCACTCGTACGGTACAATTAATGGCAGCCTAATAAATTTAGGGGTCGTCCGGTTATCATGGAATGGGCTAGGATGCGTTCCAGTTAATCAATTGTTATACAACTTAGTTTATCATTCTAGCTGTGAATCGTTTCAGGGAATGATTCCTAGACAACTGAACGAGCCCTCGGTGTGTTCTTGTTTCCTTGTGTTGCAATGGGCACAAGACTTTTGAGTAGACTCGTTCAGAGATGGATGCAAAGTTGCAAACATATGGTCGACAGAGATGATTGGTACTCTGCTGCCGCGAGTGTGGGACTGCAGGGATGTAATCCTACCTGGCAATGCATTTACGCATGCCATTTCTTGACCCGCAGGTGTCGCAGGGCTAGGTGGGCACGGCCGCTGCTGGCCCTTGCCCGGTCATTTCGACCCAATACCTGCACGACGGCACTGCACACATCAATCTGGCAGTCTGATTGCCTGACATGGTCCCGTATCTCGAACGACCTCCACTGCTCAAGTCTGGTGGGCACGGTGGCTTAACGCTGATGTATCGACACGTAACTGGTGTGCAGATGCACAGGACGCATTGCTGCTAATGCAATGCAATCGGTAGAGCGGCTTACCGGCATACTTTCTATTAGGATCGAGATCTAGCCCGTGAGGTGCACTGAGTAAATTAACCCGAGCATGAGTCGAAGCGATGCGTTGCTTTGCTTAGGTTTCACATTTCCGTCTTGTTTAGTTTCATCTCAATTTTCAAAAGGTTGCTACAGTATCTGTCACATCGAATGTTTGCGGTCTGTGCATGGAGCATTAAATGTAGACGAAAAGAAAAACTAATTGCATAGTTTGGTGGGAAATTGCGAGACGAACGTTTTGAGTCTAATTAGTCTATGTTTGAACACTATTTGCCAAATAAAAACGAAGGTACTACAGTAGCCCCAAAATCCAAATTTCGCGAACTAAACGAGGGCTTCTACGCTGTAAGTAGGGAGTACAGTACTTGTGTACCCTGCACTGCAAAGCTGAACTAAACGCCTCTAAAGTTGAGTCTCTATCACATCGAATGTCTGGACACATGCATGGAGTATTAAATATAGACTAAAAAATAATTAATTGCACAGATTGCGACTACTTTGCGAGATGAATTTTTTAAGCATAATTAGTCCACGATTTGACAAGGTGGTGCCATGGTAAAGCTAAAGTAAACATGTGCTAATGACGGATTAATTATGCTTAATAAATTTGTCTCGCGGACTTATGAGGATATTTATAATTTGTTTTATTATTATTATTATTATTATTATTATTATTATTATCCGAACACTTCTATAGTCCCATGTGACACATGATGTGACAAACGTAAACTTTAGCCCCTCGATTTAAACATCGCTTTATACTTTTTGATCGCATCTCATTGCTGGTTGCACTAACTGAAAGCAAATGTGACTTGTTGAATGCAGGTGGACCTGCTGAGCCGGATGGACTCGCCGTACCTGGTGGGGCTGCTGGGCTACTGCGCCGACCGGAGCCACCGGCTGCTGGTGTTCGAGTACATGCCCAACGGCAGCCTCAAGAGCCACCTCCACCCGCCCCGGCCGCCGGCGCCCGCGGCTGCAGCCGAAGGCCTCCTCCAGCTGAGGCCCCCGCCGCCGCTGGACTGGCAGACGCGGCTGGGCATCGCGCTGGACTGCGCGCGCGCGCTCGAGTTCCTGCACGAGCACAGCAGCCCCGCCGTGATCCACCGCGACTTCAACTGCAGCAACGTCCTGCTGGACCACAACTACCGCGCCCGCGTCTCCGACTTCGGCATGGCCAAGGTCGGCTCCAACAAGGCCGACGGGCAGGTCGTCACCCGCGTGCTCGGCACCACCGGCTACCTCGCGCCAGAGTACGACGAGCACGCCGCCATTTCCAATCAGCTTGTAATGCTTCCTTTTTTTTTTTTTTTTCTTTTGGTAGCGTCGATTGATCGCAGGCTAGCTGTTTGCAGGTACGCGTCGACGGGGAAGCTGACGACCAAGTCGGACGTGTACAGCTACGGGGTTGTGCTCCTGGAGCTGCTCACCGGCCGGGTACCCGTGGACACGCAGCGGCCGCCCGGAGAGCATGTCCTGGTTTCCTGGGTCAGTACGTTATGTCCGATCACTCATTAATCAGTACTACTGCATGTCGTGGTGACTGAATAGGCACTCATCTTGTTTCCAGGCCCTTCCGCGACTCACGAACCGCCAGAAACTGGTGCAGATGGTTGACCCTGCCCTGAAAGGCCAGTTTGCCCTGAAGGATCTGATCCAGGTCTTCTTCCTTTCTAACGTCCCTGCTGCTCTGACGGCGCTACTCTCCCATTTATTCCTCATTTACTCTGCAATTATGCCGCTCATCATTAGCCGTTCAATGACACCAAGACGTACGACATCTTTAACTGACATGACACGAATGCAACTGGGAGCACAGGTCGCCGCCATCGCCGCGGTGTGCGTCCAGACGAAGGCGGAGTACCGGCCGCTGATGACGGACGTGGTGCAGTCGCTGATCCCCATCGCCAAGACCACCCCGGCCATGTCCTGCTCCTCCACGCCGCTCAGACCGGCCTTGCAGCACGTCATCTTCATGGGCCCGCAGTGCGGCGGCAACAAGACCTCCTCCTAGCTAGTACTGGCAATCTGGTATGTATAGAGGTATCCACCACTGGAGTCGGCGAATTCTCATTCCTTGTTCCTTGATGTATAGAGCTCCCCTCTTCTCCGGCCAGGATCTGCAAATGCATCATTGCAGTAGTACATCGTGATTGTATTCAAGCGAAAGCGTACGGCGTACCATTTTGTTGGTACGAACTACTTTAAAGATAACATGAAAATAGAAATAAACATTCTTTTTTCTTCTTCTTTTTCTCATGAGCTTGCTGTGCCTTTGAACAATGTTTGTGTTGTGTTTATATTGGGATATCTCTACTTCTCTACTACTGTGAAGAAGAGTGAAGGACCTGCTTGGTTTCTTCGCCGAGGAATGTTACACCTTCCTGAGCGAGGATAGCACGTGCAATGTCTGTTTGGTTCTCTTATTTGGGCGCTTTGAAAGACCGTGCGAGTTAGATCTGTCTTGCTCGCATGGGAGAGCCAAACTGGCTCGGCTGCTTGGGCGAGCGCCTCGTTGCTTACGCCGGTGCAGCAGGTGAGCCAAGTGACTAAGTGAGGCTACACCAGAAACCTAGCAGCCCCGAAGTGTCCGCGTCGTCCGCCACACTGCAGTTTTCGTCTGACCTCTTGGCCCGCTCACTGTTAATTTTGATCTTTTGTCCTGTTAGAGCAACTCCAGGGACTCCTCTCTAAATGATAGGAATAAATATTTTTATGAAAAAATATCCTCCGACAACTTCTCTAAGAGCAACTCTAACAACTTAGCTATTCTTGTTGTGGAGACTATTTCAAAATTTGTATAGCAAAAATTTTGCTCCAACAGATGTGCTATCTAACTTTGTAAAATAGAAAGCTGGCTCCCTTAGTTTTTGGTGGCCATATATAGCCAACCACGGACACTAGCTACGTGACTTGGGACCTCTTCTTTTTTTAGAAGTATTCTGTTTTATAAAATGGCTAAACAATGGAATTTGGCTAATAATTTTAGCCAAGCTTTTGGAGTTGCTCTAAATGATTATCTAAATATAGCAATCTTCTATTCCGGATTTTTCGCTAGCCAAAAATAGAATACGAAAATAGCTCTCTAGAGTGCTCACGAGATATAGAAAAACTGTTGGAGGATGAAAATATATAGAAAACGATTTTTATGCAAATGACTCTCTGAATGATGATTTAGAGAGAGATTTAGAAAGCCTCTGGGAGATGCTCTTATAAACTTGTTTAGTTGTTATGGAAGGCTAGAACCGATTATTGTTATTTGAGTAGTAGGAAACGTTATAACATGTCTAAGTTCCCTCTGTTATTTGAAAATTACACAGAAGTTGCTATTGGAAATCTTTGCTAAAGTGTCAGTAGATAAGATTGCTAGCTATCGCACAAAAGCTGTTTTCTGATGGTGCAGTGTTAAGTAGTAACCAATCAAAATAATTCTTCAGTTGGACCTATGCAAGTTTTTTTTTTTGAAAATTGGAAATCTTCTAAGTCATATCTGGAATTTTTAATTTTTTAGCTTTGCCAATTTGTTAAAAACTAGCAAACGTGCCCGTGCGTTACCACGAAGCCCGAAACATCTTGAGATCGGAATATGTATCATCGTTAGATGCGGGTTGTTCGAACTCGAGTTACAATCATATAAAGACGAAGGACACGAGAACATTCTAAGAATTAAAAAGAAAAGACCGAAGAATTTGAAATGTGGATACAATTTTTTATATATTTAGATAAACTTACCATATTTTTTTACTTCTACTAAACATATACTATATTTCTTTTATCCTTTAGACAGAAGGTAGCACGACCAATCCATGATATTGGTTAGCGGACCCCAATTTTTCTTTTACTTCTCCCCTAAAAAAAAAATTCACTTCACTTATTTCTCGTCCACCTACAAATATTCTCATAACCTCTCTGCTGGCAGGCAGCAACAATTTCCAAGCCTCCTTATTTCTTATCCTCTCACAACGGTGAACACCTTTTGTTTCTCTACTTTCTCTCCCACCATCCTGAGCAGCTGGAGGCACATATGTGAGGCGTGCAGGAGGAACCATAGGAGGTGACTGCTTATGCGCATGCTGGAGGATGCAAGACACATGCATGGTTGATTTTGGTTAGTTGGGAAATGATTTTTGTCTTTGTTTTATTGTTTGAATCGGCTACACAGCGTGGACCGTTGAAGAAATATTATACTTTTTTGTTAGAATCGATCTGATCCGTAGATTTGTTTTATATGTATTTGATCAGTTTTATCACATTTAGACGATAGGATTCACACTGAAATTGCTCTGCTTGATTGATTATATATATAACATACGTTTACAATATATGTGTATAATCACTTCAACATATGCAACATCTAGATAAAATTCTTATAACATACGTCTGAAATAGGTGAAACATTTACAACATACGTGTATAACTACTGCAACATATGCAACATCAAGATGAAAACATGCAACATCCAGATAAAACAACTGAAATATTTAGAAAACACACTTGCAACATACATGTATAGCCACGGCAACATAGACAACATTTAGATGAAACACTTGCAACATACGTTTGAAGCAGCTGAAACATTTGAACCATATACTTGCAACACATGTGTATAGCTATTACAACATATGCAACACCAGATCTACTTTTGCAACATTCAAATAAAATATTTGCAACATACATGTGAAACACATGAAACATACAGTTACAATATGTGCTCATCTACTTGCTGCCGCCCAATGAAGGCTTGTTGACGCGGGCACGGGGGAGTGCAGCGCGAGGAGCAGGCGGGGTGTGCGGCACGAGGTGGGTCCGGCGTGAGGCGGGCGCGGGGGAGTGCAGCGCGAGGAGCAGGCGGGGTGCGCGGCACGAGGTGGGTCCGGCGTGAGGCGCAGGGGCATGCGGCGCAAAGCGGGTCCATCGCGAGGCGCAGGGCACAAGGCGATTCCGTCCCGGTGGAAGCGTTCAAATCTTTTTTTTAACAATGAGCTAGTCAGACCTGGTCCACAGGCCCAGCAAAGGCGTGTGTCGGGCTGGCCGGACGCTCGGTATAGAGCATTACCGAGAAACACAAACAACGGGATTTCCCTTCTCGGTCCTCAAGGATCTGTACGGGAGTGTATGGAAAAAAGAATATAGAAAAAATGAAACAAATAGAAAAAGGATCGAAACTATTTGTGATTTAATATTGGAAGTAAGATTTTGCCAAATTTATATTTCTATCTTTTTCCTACTTCTACAGCGTGTTCGGCTGGCTTGTTTCCAGTCGGCTGGCTTGTTTTTCCTCTCACAGAATCACTGTTCACGTCCTGCTAGAACAGTATTTTTCTCTCACAACAATCAGCCGGAACAGTATTTTTCAGTCCTGCCGAACAGGCCCCTAATTACTACGCGTAATGATATCATCACTATCCTGCTGCTTCTTTTGTAAGTCTCGCTTATGTCTCTTTTCCTAGCTATTCGTGGATTAGAGTCCCCTAGCTATTTGAGAGTATCTACAAATAAAGTCTGATATGCATTGCTGCTACAATTCTTGTCCGTGTATTCTTCCGCCTATCACTATCGGACACCCTCTCTTTGCGGAGTGCCTGTGGCACTCGACAAAGCCCGAAATATACTTGGTAAAGGCTTTGCCGAGTGCCGCACTCGGCAAAGGGCACTCGATAAAAAATTAATCGGCAAAGAAGGCTTTGCCGAGTGCTTTTTGTCGGGCATTCGGTAAAGCCTTTGCTGAGTGCCGGAAAAGCACTCGACAAAGATTTACACTCAGCAAAATGAAAATGCGAAAAAACCCAAAAATAATAGCAATTTTTTTTTCGGGGGAGGCCGCCACCGGCCAGCGCCCGTGTAACACCTCTGGTGTTTTAAACCCTAAAATATGCCATGTCATCATATGCATTGCACATCATTTTTGTGTTAGTGAAATTTTTTGATATGCATCCACTAAAACAAGTTTAATTTTATGTTATATGTGTTGAATTTTATGGATGAATCGAGTTCATAACCTTTGTTTTGAATTGGATTTCAAAAACCTGAATTTCCAGCATTTTAATTCTACCTTGGAAAACCTAATTCAAAATCTAAGCACATTTTGGAGTTGAGCCTAAATGAGAAAGTGTAGAGCTTGTCAATGTGTACAAAGTTGGTTTTTAGAGTTTTCAAAGTTGTTATGAAGAAATTGAAGTAATTTAAAAAGGGATAAATTCTTAAAGTATTCCCTTTTGATTTTAAACTTGCATTTTAAAATATAGACCGAATTAGGGCATGGTTATTAAAGCAAAGTTGTAGAACTTTGAATTTGGAGCAACTTTTATTTTTGGAGATTTTTGAGTTACCATGCAAATTTGGGAGTAATTTGAGAAATTAGGCGAGTGGCAATTCGGTAATTTCCTTGAACAGTGTCAGCGGGCGACACCTCACCGTCGGTGAGCTTCCACCGCGTTCCAGTCGCGCCCGTGGCCACCTTCGGCTTCGCGCTGGCATGGAGAAGCTGCTGCGCATCGTCTCCGTGTCCTTGGCCGCGCTATAAAGCCTACGCCATCGCTGTTCTCCTTCCTCTACTTTTCCCGTCGAGCTGTCGCTGCTCCGTCGAGCTCGTGCCGTCGCTGTAGCGCCCTCCCAGTCTCAGCAAAGTGTGTCACAGCTCCGCCTGCTCCTTGCGAACCTAGCCGACCAGTCCTAGGCGCCTGACTTCGCCGAGTTTCGCTACACGCCTTCGTTCTTCCTCGCGGCCGACAGTAATGCCGTCGAGCTCATCTCATCGTGGCCAGCAAGCTCCGGTAGCTTTCTCGATCTTTCAAGCTTGGTTTCATCTTTACCATGTTGCTCTAGTGCTCTATGGCCCTTTGATTGATCCGTTCCTCCACTACAGACACTGGAACGCCGCCGTCGACACCTACGGAGCCGCCGTGTCTGCCTTGATCGACGACGAGCTCCTCTGTTACTCCTCCAGTTCAGTCATCAGCTCGAGCGTGTTTTGGGTGAACTCATGAGTCCTCCCAAGCGTTTTGTTTAACCGCT